AAGAATATATCGCAAACCTAGATCTAAAGAGAGCTAACTCAAAATTCAGAGGGAAATTTAACTGCCTGTGGATCGTACACATTCAACGCAATTAATACAAAACAGATATAACAGTAGTTTTTTTAGTTAATGTGTATAATCATGAAGAAAAAAGTATTTTCATTAATTGGATGTAAGCCCTGTAACTGGATTAATGCAAACAAATTGCCAAAAATTTTGTTTGAGTTGATCATACTTTAGATCTAGGTGTGCGATATGTAACATCAAAAGCAAATCACGAAAGTTTGGTTTAAAATTACGGTGCACACTTTTTTCTTTTATGTCTAGTAGCTTTTTAAAGATTGATCCAAAAAAAAATCATAATAAAGAAAGAAACCAATGCAGGTATTTAAAGCACAGAAAAAAATGCTATTAAAAGGACAATGTTCTTTTTGACGTCCGTCAAAGGTCAAGTAGGAGTGGGAACTTGTATGACTGCCCATTGATAGCTCGGTTATATAGCTTAAGAAATAAAATGTTTAGAGACACTTTTATCAAAGTTGATAAATATGACATTAGACGAGTTTTGTTACACAAATACTCCCATGTGCGGCGCCCGGGTAACACGACCACAGGCAAAAAATATTGGCTCCAATTTGTCATTTTGTTTGCCAGATATACGTTTTATCGGTACACTTTCACAACATTCGCATTCGCAAAAGCTCCGCATTGATTATTGCGAATGCGAAAGCGAATGCGAATGTTAAAATTAATGCGGAAGCTCCGGCCACGTGAATAATTCATCTTTATTAAGTTCTATAAATAAATTGTGATGGAATAGTATATTTTCTGTTTCATTCTCATATAAAGAACGCAACATTTTCTCAGGTTTCAGGGCAACGCAAAGCAAGAGTTCCCATATAAAAGGGCATGAGATTTCAAACTTTTCTGGCAACTGACACAAGTCGAATGTGAGCAACACGACTCCACTAGCAACAGTTTGACCATCATTACGTTTAAAAAATTTATATACTGACACAACACCTTGATCTCTTAAATTCTCAACTATCTCTGTTTCTGGTATTTCGTTTAGGCAAGGTACGTAAATGATGCCCTTAGAATGGTTAAGTTTATGGTGCATTTCTATTTTCACATCGCAAACTCCGATTAATTTAGTTGTACCGAGAAATTTTCTTGCTACTGCATCGTTTTTAACGAAGAACAGGAGGCTGCCGTCTCTGAGACTTGAGATTTCTATTTTTTCCGTGGAAATGTTCTTTAAAGCCTTGTGTACGGCAAAGCAAGAGTATTTATTGAAGTGAAACTTCTTAAGCGGCGGTTGGTTGGGTGGGAGTAAATTGGAAAATTCAGCGGAAATTGCACACGGAAATGGTGCAACGGAAATGGTGTAACGGAAATGGTTGGGGCTGAAACAAGTAGTTCATGTGTGTATGCAACGGAAATGATGCAACGGAAATGGTGCAACGGAAATGGTTGGGGCTGAAACAAGTACTTCTTGTGTGTATGCATATGGTATGAATTTAACAAAAACTTGCTAATAAAAGGTCAGAGGATAACACTTAGAAATAACAATACAATAATGAAGGTAAAGGTGAATTGGTACATATATAATGAAAACTATAAAGGCAAAGGTAAAAATAAAAACAAAAACAAAGATGTGTAAAGATATAGGCAAAAATGAAGACCAAGGTAAATTTAAACACTTCACTTATATATACATATATAAGGGCAAAGGTGAAGGGGAATATGTTGATGAAGAAAATGATAAAAATAAAAGTAAAAACAAAGATGAGGATGAGGATATCGATAAAAGTAAAGATGAAGATAGGCGAAGAAAAAATAAAATAAAGGTAATTAAATAGGAAAGGATATAGAGAGAGACACAGAGACTCAATCTGGGAACTATTTTGGGATTTTAGAGATTTTCTAGATTCTCGAGACTTATTGATTAAATAATCGATATTTTTATTGGTTTTGTTATCGATATTTATCGATTTTGTTATCGATATTTATCGATTTTGTTATCGACATTCATCGATATTGTTACCGATATTTACCGATTTTGTTATCGATATTCATCGATTTTG